TTGGTCTAGGCACCGGGAAGGCCCTGGACGGTAGGGTGCATTTACGAACGAAAGTGGTCTCTTCCGCGGGAGATATGAGATCTTCAAAAGTAGTCCATCCCGACAGGAGGGCTTCAGGTTGATGAGTGGGTCACATTTCGGTCGACCACACCTCCTCAACTTGCCCAGGATCCGTAAACTTGGCGGGCGAGACATTTGCCAACCTGAGTCCACTCATGCGCGACTTGTCAAATTCCCGTGAAGGACGAGCAGCTTTCTTGATGGCATCGAAATGTTTTTCGAAGGAATTGAAACGCTGGTCTAGGAAGTTCCATGCAATGCTGAACTCCTTAGGCGACGACCATCCTCTTATAGTGAATATCAGGGCTAGGTCGCCTCGGGGATCCACTACGAAATCACCTGCGGCTAAGTTGGCCTTGGTGGCTAGCTGGGTGAACTCGGTAATTTTCATGAGCAGGTCGGTTAGCTCAACCCGCCAGACGGTCCCTAGTCGATATCTCAAAGGCTCTCCTTCGAGACCGGCTCCAACAGACTCTTTCTCGAGATCAGCGGGAGCGAGACGACGCCAATTTCGTATACGTTTCATGTAGTTATTCGAATCCTCAAAAATTCCACCTTCAAACTCTCCAAGAGCTTCGATGACTTGCCTGAGAGCTTGTTGTTGTAGGAATGCGCCAGGCGAGGAATGCACGTCTTCGCCTACTGGCGAGGTATCTCTTGAATTGGATCTACGATCTGACTGACTAATCCTCGTGGGGCAGGAAGGAGGATACAATTCGTGCGTCACTTGGACCGGGGTGACTGGTTTGTCTCCCAACAGGGACACCATCTTTGGTGGCATGGTGCGAGTTTCTCGCACCGGGTTGGGGCACCAATGTTATGGGGATGGGGGAAATTCCCCATTCCTCGATCCGTTCTTATAGTGGGATGAGTGAGGTCATATCTGGTCTGTACCATAACAGGATATGTAATCGATGAGTGATCCCAGTCTTGCCTGGGGGTGGACGATCGAGTTCCCATCGATCGTGATTGATGATGTAGTGAGCTATTAAGGGATTGATGGTACAGTTGCGGACAGGCAAATTCATTATAGCTATCTAAAAACACACTTTATAGGCTCCTAGGTCGTTTTTCGAGCACACGCTAAATTTTGGACCCAAAAATTGAAGAAAAATTTGGCATTTCAGACATCGGCGAGGCAATATTGGCAATATTGGGAGGGTATACTTTTGTACATCAAAATACAAGAGTATCTAGCTATCTGTGGTTGCAGTATTCCTCGGAATCGCATCCATTGCAATTCTTGCGGCTTCGCTTCGGAAACTGAGTGATGACTCTTTTGTTTTTTTTTTACCACCCATTCTGCTGCTTTTCCCTTCCGATAGGCATCCATAAACCTCCAAGTCTGATTAATGCACTTCCAAATTGTGCATGAATCCAAACGCTGGAGGGGAGTGGTTGGCGTACCGGAAGCAAACTCATGTGATTCTGCCTCCCCATCACCGATTTCCTGCCATACCACCATTCCATGGGACTTCTTTCACAAAAAATCATATGCTACTAGTCAACAGCTTTCATTTGGCCCCCTTTTTATGCATGGGCGCCTATTTTCTAGCGCGACGCTAAATTTCGGCACTCACATGGAAATATAATCTTCGAATTCAGTGTCGGAAAGCCTCGGAATGAACTCGGTTACCCAAAATACATCGTTTTATCATGTTTCCAGACTTTTTCATGGAGATTAAAATTTCTTTCAGACTTTGCCTGTCCGCAACTGTAGGTAGTCGGAGATGCCAGGACGGATGGGTCAGCCACGGGTACTTGGCGCTCCTCAATGGAGCGTACTGTGTGCGAGGTCGCGACTTGTGAGATGGGTGAGAACTTCATATAGTTGCTATCGGGTACTTGGCGTTCGCAGTGCAAACGTGCCGGTAGCGGGTTGATGTCATAAGCGTACAATGAGGACTGACTAGTAGGGCCTTCGGTGACTTGGCGTTCCCAAAGGGAACGTACCGTTGGCAGGGAAACATGATGACTGGCGAAGGAGGGAACAGACGGTGGATGGGCAGCGACTTGGCGTTCGCATAGCGAACGTGCCGGCATCACGGGAAGATGGGCCTCAAAGTATTCACGATCTCCAAGATCGTGAGGTGATGTCGTATGTTGAGTACTGGGGGGAGAGCGGAGTGATGAAGACCCATAGGGTACAGATTCAGTAGGACGATACACATGTCGAGAGTCTTCGACTCTCGACCTCGAGTTCTCGCGGCGAGGGCCGTTAGAGGACTCGATATAACCAGACTTATAAGACATATTGAGAGTTGTACAGTCACACGGGTTCAGTTGAGTCACAGGGAGGGTTGTTACAGAAGACGGTACACGAGACAGTTGTAGAGCAGTTGTTAGTTAGCGGGAACCGCCTTCGGCGGTTTCCGTACATGACGCGTGACTATCTACAAATGGTAAGGTCGCGGGAAATCCCACGAAACACAAACAACCTCGGCCAGCACCAAAACCCCAATGGGGAAAGCTTTGCACGAGGGGGGGGGGAAAGGGGTAGAACGGGTAAGGAGGATAGGGTAGCGGGATAGAGGACGGAAAGAAGAAAGGGGGGAGGAGCGATAGAGAGGGGAAGTCTTTGACCATGCGACGGATATGGTCGTTGGAGACTCCGTATCCGTAACACTTCCTGCTCGCCTCCTATGAAATTAAGGACCAAATGGACAAACAGCAATGGCACAGTGCTCCGCTTGAGTCGCTGAGGCCAAGGTCCCTCCTTGCTAAGTCTCCGGTTCCCCTCCGGAATCATCCGCCCTCACCCAGTTCTAACAGCCGCAGCCATCCAGGTGTCCCTGTGGGGGATCCCGAGAGCGTCTGCTGCGTGCGTGTGTGCTGGGCACAGCAGGAAGCCATCTGGGGTGTGTGGGCCAGATGGGTCAATGGTACATTGATACAGAGGAAAGTGGTCCATGTAGATAGAAGGAATAAGCAGAAAGAGAAAGATGGGAAGAATGAAATAAAGAAAGGAGAAGAAAGAGAGACAGAAGAAAGAGGGAGAGAGGGAGGAGGGGGGAAGGAGAGGGATGGACAGCAGGGAGTGGGTGTGGTGTGGCCAGGTGGGTCCGGGTGGACCCGGGTCAGGTGGGTGTGCCCTGACATTATGCTCCTGAGTGCTCTGGAGTATGGAGAGCACTGGGAGAATCAGGAGGAGATTGGCTGGTCCAGGAACAGCTCATTTCCTCCAGAGTTGGCCAGGTACTCCAGGGCACTCCCAGGAGGGCATGGAGCATTGCTTTGTGCACAAACATATCCAGTAAATACAATTTAAATGCTTCAAAGTGTATAGGGGTGAGAAGCTTCTGGGAGCTCCTGGAGCATTTGAAAATGAAAAGGAAAAAAGAGGGAAGATTCCCCATGAATACCTTCTACCACAAGACTAACACAACAAGACACTGCTTAACATTTAGATCAAACACTATACTATATATCAAGGACACTGAGACTCACCACTACACAATCAAAATTTATGGCCTGATATATGATTAATCTGGCAACTTAATCACTTTCAGGCTTGCAGAATATGGGGGGGGGAGGAATGAGGGGGAAATGAGGGGGGAAATTGTCATGGCCATGCATTCTGGCCCATTCCCCACCTGTCCTGATGCCGCCCAAGCCCATTCCCACTGTGCAAGTGCAAGCGCGAACCCCAACCTCAGCCCTATCCTCCCTGAGGACTCCCCCACTGCCACACCAGCCTCCCCACCCTGAGTCCACCTCCGGCACCGCACCCAGCACGACTCCTCTACCCTGCCCACTTGGCCCCTACAGGGCCACTACCATTCCCGTGCCTGACTCCGGCCCAACTCCAAGTCCAGCGCCAATACCATTGCCATCACCGCTATTGTGGCCCTACACCCTTTCGTTTATTTATCTGTTATTGTTTGTTTTGACCCTCAGTCATTGCTGGCCACACAGCGGCCAACCCTGCTCTTTGTTCCCTTTTGCTTCTGGACCCTTTGGCCTTCGGCCTGGGTCCACTTCTATTCATTTCCTCTTCCTATATATATCCTGTATGATACATTATAGTACTTTAGCTCTTTGACCATGACTCCCCAAGTCCTGACCCCAGCAAGGCAACCCCAGTAAGTCTGAAATGAGGGCCAAGAGACAGCTAGGGGGCACAGCGCTCCTTTAGAGTCACTGAGGCCAAATGCCCTACCCTTGGGCCTTGTTTGTGGCATCATGGCCATCACAGCCTATAGTGGCCTGCAACAGCAACCCTCAGTGCCAACCCCGGACCAGTGTCTAACAGAAATGAGGGGGGAAATGAGGGGGGAAATGAGGGGGGAAATGAGGGGGGGAATGAGGGGGGAATATAGAGGGAAATGAGGAAAATTTGAAAAATAGGGACTTCTAAAAAGTTGAAAAAAATAATTAGAGAAAAATCAAAAAAAAATTCAGGAACTGTAGTGCCTTTGAAGTACTTTCAGGATATATAATTATTTGCAAAATTGAGGAAGAAATGATGGAGAAAAATGGAAAATACTTTCGGAGACCCGAGAAATAATGAGAACTGAATTGATGGGAAAGTCTGAAAATTGAATAGGAAAGTGAGGGGAAGCCTTGTAGCATTGTTATTTTCTGCTGTTCTGATTTTTCCCAGTTCTTCTTGGTCTCATTCCCAGCTGCTCCTGGACCCTCCCAGGAGCTTTCAGGAGTATTGAGGAGCAGCTGGGAATGAGACCAAGAAGAACTGGGAAAAATCAGAACAACAGAAAATAACAATGCTACAAGGCTTCCCCTCACTTTCCTATTCAATTTTCAGACTTTCCCATCAATTCAGTTCTCATTATTTCTCAGGTCTCCAAAAGCATTTTCCATTTTTCTCCATCATTTCTTCCTCAATTTCGCAAATAATTATATGTCCTGAAAGCACTTTAAAGACACTATAGTTCCTGAATTTTTTTTTGATTTTTTCCCTAAATTTTTTTTTCAACTTTTTAGAGACCAAAAATTTCCTCCCACTGCTCCTGGTACATTGCATACTTCTCACCACTCCCAGCTGCTCCTGAACCCCCTCCCAGGAGAACACTATTGGCTCCAGGAGTGACCAATCTGCTGTTTTGTCTCCCACATGCTCCAGCCACTCTTGATGCTCCGGAGCATAATGGACTTTTGCTGATGAAGAATGTTGGCAGATGTGACTGGGTCAGGGTCAAGTTTCCAGTCTTTCATTTTAAGGGAACAATGGTAGTGGTATACTGCATCCCAGCTGAATGATGCATTAGGAAATTTATCCTGAACATCTTGCCAGACCTAGCAAATATAGATGAGTGTTCTATGTGTTCTTGGTACAATCATGCACATTCCTTACATCTTTCAGCAGTTTCTCCTTATTGGTGGCAATCATTTCCAAGGCTTCTGGTGGAAGTTGTGTAGCATGATAGGGTATGTGGTCATCAGTGTGTTTCAGGTCAATTTTGGCAGTGAATGTGCTGTGAATTATTTGGAGGGTGACATGTAGATGGCTTTCACAGTTGAAAAAGGCCATGGCTCAGCAGTCTCGTTGCTTGGATACATCAGTAGTCTTCTGAGTGTCATATCCATCTACAGCCATCATCCTCCACTACCTCCGATCCTTCCGGACTACCTCTGCTCCTTCATCACTAACCTTGGAGCCCCCTGTATTCTGCAATCACCTCCAACTCCCTCAATGGTCACCACCCCTTCAAATATTACCTACGCTTCCCTAAGTACAGAACCCCAAAGGCCTCCAGACAGCTCCGACGTCTGCTAGCGCACTCCCACCCCTGCTGGGCAATTCACTTGCTTGCCCTGCAAGTCTACCTTCAGGCCTATCCCTCCTTTCCATTTCTGGGTTATAGCCCACCATTCCACTAACCCTGTAACCCAACTTGTCGGTAATATTCAGTCAGCTAATGTTTAACTCCATTAACTCTGCTCTGCTTGGTCCTGCCATTCACGGGCCTGCCCTTGCTGTAACTATATATACATAACTTGTAGATAGGTTACACCCTAGTGATAAAATCGACTAGAGTTAATCCCCCTTTTTAGTTCTCGCTGCCAGTAAGTAAATTAGGGCATGGACGTGTAACTTGGCACAGCGCTCCTGGTCTGAGTCGCTGAGGCCAAAGCCCTCCACCATGGAGATGTATCCATCATCTCACATCCAGTCTCTAACACTGAGCCTTTTCCTGCATTTGCTGATCTTGGGTGCATTGGTATCAGAAGAAGAAAGCAGGAAGCTCCCCCCTGACTCCCACCCACTGTATCATATCATGGTACCTAAAGAACACTCAGCCCCTTTGTGTTATTACCAAAATCTTCACACACCTCCATCTATAGCCAAGTATATCCTCACATTGTGTAAGGGTGTCATGACCGACAAATCCTGGGCTCCGTCAGCAGCGAACCAATGCCGATAGGCGAATCCGCTGACCCAAAACCCATCCTAACCAGCCCCCAACCCCATGTCTGGCCCCCTGCCTTACTGTGTGAGACTTGGCCAAGAATCAGAACCTAGACCCTGCCGGTATTCCGACCTTACCTCCAGTTCCTGAGCCCTTGGCGCTCCCGGCATTCAGTCACGCCTGCCTTGTCTCCATCTGAACCACACTCATCGCTTCCCGCTATGTGGTCACAGCCATGCCCCGCTTCTGTCCACTCTGCACCCTCTGCCCACTCCGCACCCTCTGCCCACTCCGCACCCTCTGCCCATCTCTGCACCTTCTGGCCACTTCTGGTTGCCCTTGACACCTCTGGTCAGGCCAACACTCCCACTCCCCTCTGTACCTCTGTTGGCCTTCATGCTGTCCTTGTGTGACAGTGCTGGCAGATCAACTTCTGTTCGCGGACTTGTGTCGGCACCACACCGACCCCGCTTATTTGCGGACTTGTATCGGCGCCGCGCGCTGACCTCCGCTTTTCCTCTGGCCATTTGTCACTTGGCAGCTTATCATTCATTCCTTGCCGAGTGCCATTTATTGTTTGCTTCCCTGCCAATATCGGCATTTGATCCCCTCTTTATTGGCACTAGGTTATTGATCTCATTCAGTTATTCATCAATAACCCTTGCCACTTATTGTTTAGTGATCTGTTCCTCCTTTCCAGTTCCCGGGCTCTTGTCCTTATTTAGTTTGACAATCCCCGCTTATCTCCGCGCCGGACCACGCCGGACTGACCGGCCTTTCTATATTCCCTCTTGCCTATTTATATACCTTGTAAATACTTTTGGGGACCTCAGTCTGAAATCAACTAGAGTACCCCCCTGTCTGGTTTGAGTCCCTCCTTCTGCAAAGGGGGCTTCCCCCCCTCTGAGTCCGTGCTCGCGGAGTCCGCGCTCCTCCTACAGGTCCGCTCCGCCCGCAAGTCTTGTTTGAAGTCCGCTGTGAGTGTCAATCCGTAAATACGGGATCTCCCCCAAACGTCAAGCTCAGGGCACAGCGCTCCACCTGAGTCGCTGAGGCCGCGATCCCACTCTGCTAACCTTGAACAGCGCTTCCGGACGCGCCACATATTTCCGCCCGCATATCCGCGCGCGTGCTCCAACAGACCTCTGCCACAATCTCCGACCCCGACTCAGACAGAACCCAATCCATCGTCTATCTGTCTTCTGACAGTCTGCCAGACTCCAACAATATTCCCAGTCTCTGACAGCATCCCAGATCTCTGACAGTATTCCGACTCCGACAAGAATCCCGTCTCTGACAAAGGGATGAATGTATAACAACTGTATATATATATATATAGTGTCCAGGGTCGGGAAAAGGAGCTTAGCTCTTCTCCTCCCCCCCTATTGAATACTAGCTCCATACAGTCTACATTATCGACAGTCTGAGGATTGAGGAGTCACCAAGGCTGGCACCCTGTCAGGAACTTGTCAGACATGTATCCAGATGATCCGCAGGGTGCGCGAAGTCGTCCAGGCTCATAAGGTCGGAGGGGCGGGACTTCAGCTTCAGTGACTTGGGTGGAGCGCTGCACTTCATTCTTATGTTGTTGTCCCAATTTCAGACAGAAGCCTTACGATGAGGAGAAGAGTCTAGAGGGGGAATCCAAGTCAATATACGAACTGAGGTACATCCAGTGTAACCTACATGCGTTATAAACACAAGTAACTAAATAGGACTGGCCCAGAAGGAGTGGCGGATCAAGCACAATATTAATGAATGAAGAAAGAGACAAATAGGTAATATCGGAAAACTTGGTCAACAAAAGGCAAGCAAGAACAATGAGTGACAAAGGAGGAACAATAGTCTGCAAGTGAACAAAAGAGAAAAGGCCATCCAGCCGTCTAGCAAGCCATCTGGCTGGCAGGCGGACAACAATGAAGCGGGCAACCTAGGTTGGAAGTGTACGCATGTGGGGGAGGAAGTGCAGATGAGGGTGATGGGTGGATGGATGGATGGATGGATGATGACGATAGCAGGCAGGACGGGCCAAGTGGCACTAGGACGTGTAGATGGAAGTGACAGATATGACACACCCCAACCAGCCTTACACATTAGGGGGTTTCATGGTTGACTAAAGTGGGCTAAACTGGATCCAAAGTGAAATTTCTAAAGTGGCATGTGAGTGACAAAACTGGACCTAAACTGCATCGAAACCGGCCACTTTGACTTGGGGCTCAAGAGCCCCAATTGGCCTAAAGTCAATTTTCTAAACTGAATCTAAACTCAGGCTTACTGCTGATAAATCTGCGAGCCCTGAGAGTGTGTCTACTATACAGTTCTTCATCCCAGATCACCTGTCCGCTTTCATCAACCCCATCACCATCATCTTGTCTCCACTGTCTCCACTGTCACCGACTCCAACATGGTCTTGGACTTCAATGGGAACTATCATAGCATAGGCTGCTAGGGACATGGAGTACATGGCTTTTCTCTTTCTCCTTGTTCTCTTTCATGCAATTACCATGTCGCGGACACTTTGACCTCATGACAGAGCACAAACATTGCATTCATACCACATCCATGCACTCTCCCTCAGTTCTCCAACATGAGACTGAGGTGAAGGAACATCCATTCATATTTTCCACAATCCCAACCAACCTGTGTTATGTTCATGTATTGTAGCTACATAATCATAGGTTGTAATGTCACTCATTCTCAACATCGGATTGGGCAGTGACCGGTGAGCTAGGGTGCTTCAATAAACAGGCAGATTGGATGCGGTATTGTTCATTTTGAGAGTTGCTGCAAGTGACATATGTACAATGTGAGACATGGATGAAAACAAAGGTGGAGGAAGGGTGCTGTTGGACAGTTGGATCAAATTGCAGTAACATGTGAAGGATGCAGCACTTATGCAACTCAGAGAGTTGCCCAAGCTTGTGCAGTTGTTATATAATACAGTGTGGTAACGGACTTAGGGGAGCCAGGACCGAGGCACTTTTGATGCACTTCAGACCAGAGCACCATGAACGCCCTATTGCAAAGTTCTAAACTGGAGCTAAAGTCGCTCTAAACTGAGGTCTCACATGAGCCAAAATTTGGGCCAGTTTAAATGCAATTTAGAATCCAGTTTAGACTCAGTTTAGCCAACTGTGTAACCCCATATTGCCTATAGGCTTCGTTCCCTGCATTATTCTCAGGGCCCACATCCACAATGTTTTCATTGCCCAATGAGGTGATCTGGACAAAATGAACACCTTGAAAAAGGATTGTGTGTGTGAGATATTCCTCTTCTTTGGCGGCTTCTAGTTTGGCATAAAAGTCCTCAAGTGTAGGCAGAGTTTTGATGGTATTCAAAATTCTGTCCTGTGCTTCTGCCCATTCCCTATGCTGTCGGGCATCAAGACATGAGGCACAGGCAGAGGATGGGTAGGCCGGAACTGGTCAAGACCTTTGGTTTTCCAGCAGCAGTGACAGAACATTGAAGAAATTCATGTTGCCAGCGCTATAGACTTATGTCATGAATTCAACTAATGTAAACTGGGTGACTGGATGAATGACATAAAATGGACAAGCTGTCAGGGACAGTGCATGTTATGGAAATGGGATTTTCCCATTTTTAGCCTCTTATGGCCTCTGTCATATCCATACAATCCCGACCTCTGCTCCGGGCTCCCAGAACTCCGAACTCCGACTTCCAGAGCCCTACTTCCCTTCCATCACTTTCTCCTTGCCGACTCCCAAGAGGTTATCCCACCTCCGGCTCAGACACCACCTTTGGTCCGACTCCGGAACATTCCGGGTCCGACCCCAACCTCGACACCTCCCAGACGAGTACGCAAAACCTATGCTCCCGACTCCGGACCTCCGCTCCGGTATCCCGTTCACGTCTCGTCTCCGGAACCTCCGGTCTTAGTTCCGACCTCGGACTTTGACCCCACCTCCGCTTATACCCATTGTATTGGTTAGCTCATTCCATTTAATTACCTTTGCCAATATTCCGGAGTTTAACCTCTGAGTTCGGACTTTCCGGACTTACTCCGGACCTTGCAACTATTGCATTGTCCATTTCAATTCCGCTATTCTCCCTCATTCCTATTTGGGCTGCTGCTTCCTTTCTATTCAGTCAGCTAGCCAT